CACTCTAGACACTTTTTGACAAAAATGAAAAATTACGACTTTGTTACCCAATGAGAAGTGTTCTAATATAGACAATGGGTCGTGTCTCATATTATTTGTTATAGTTTTATTATTCATTATTTTCACTTGACAAAATAATTTTGTTCGAAGAACATTTATATGCAGTTGTACTTCGCAGCACTTCACTTGCAATTTGCAATTTCTAGTAATAATAATAATAATAATAAAAGATAGGATGGTGGTAGGGGAACTTTTAGTTTATTTATAATGGTTTTAACAAGAGTAATAGAAACAATATATTAATGTAGAAAATTAAATTATTGTATTTTGTAAGATAGTTGAAAAAAGGTGAAGACACCGACACCATGTTGAAAAATAACGGTTCTTGCAATAATTTTTAATAGTTATAATAGAGATCAGTGTTGTTAATTCTCAGATGTGAACAATGTTTAAATTTGATTAAAAATCCAAATTGACAGGTACTGGAGATAGGAAGGCGAGTTACACACTAATCCGCGGCAATGAAGTGACGCAGCCGACTGGTATGTCCGAGTATTATTGGACAGTTGTAGATTTGGAGTTCAACGTTTTGGTATATTCAAATTTATTAAAATACACATTGTTGTGGAATAAAGGAACGTGGATTAAAGTTACTGTTGAACCAGAAATGATGACTAAGGTATGGCAATCAGACATATTAATCTTGTGAAATTATTAGTGAAAATCATACCTGACCTTTTTTTAATATCATTTTTGTAAATAATTAGTAACATTTTTCCTTTTGCCACCTTTCTTGTGCAATGTTTATATGACTTTTATTTTTCATTTATTGTATTTTATTTATTATGTAGTGTTTATATGTTTATTCAAATATACTTATTCATTTTTTGCCGAATTCTAATGTTTTTCTCTTTTTTTATCTACTTTATTCAATTGTTTTTTTGTTTTTCACCATGATTGTGTTTTCTTTGTTTGTTAATTTCTAGTATTTTAATATAATTAATAATCAAGAGTGTAACATAATCCAGAAAATTTATTACTAATTCCAATTATTGTGGTGTGTTTTTTTGCATGTACTACTTTTATTATTAAGTGTTTTATATTTTTTGTTCTTTTTGGTGATGTGAATTTATGTGGTAGTTATGTAGGCCTATGTCAGTCTTAAGCATTTTCTGTACCATGTAAATTTGATTGAATTTAGCTTTATGCTGCTATACCAAACTTGTCTAAATAACCAATAGAGAACAACATCATGTACCGTACTACTGAAATTCACAGTCAACAACATTTATTTACAATTTACATTAAAAATGATGCAGATTTCTAATCAAACTTTTGCTCATATTGTAACACATAGCTCTACACTACTTTATATAATACACCTGCAGACACAAGCTAATCAACAATTAACAAAGAATACGAATATAATGATAACACATATATTTTATGCAGAAATAAACAGAACATGTTATGTAATGATACAAGTTTACCTTATTTAAAATAATATTTGTAAAGCAGTACTAAATCAAAAATAAGGTATTCAAAAGTTGGAAACTAGAAAAATAAACTCTCCAAAAAAATACTAACCATTGACTGGGTTTTGGGGGAATTTACTGAATGCGTATTATACAGTGGCAGATTCAAAGGGTGGGGGGAGGGGTTCCAGTCGACCGGATGATTTGTCCAATGGGATGAGTTATAATGCGAGTAGATGATTTGTCGAATAAGCCGGGGGATTTGTTCAAATATTATGAAGAAGAAACAATTTAACATATATATAATTTATCTAAATATATTGTTATTTCCCTCTAAATTGAATACGTCTATATATATATAGTTAACTGGACTGTGTGGTTATTACGATGGTCTTGAGAGTAATGACTTTCAAATGCGCAACGGAATGCAGGCGACGTCAACGTACGCATTTGGAAACAGTTGGAAGGTAAGTACCCTTTCTACATATTAAAATATTTAGATCCATGATTATCAGTAGCATAACGTTACGGGGTCCGGGACGAGAAAGTGTTTGTGGCCCCCATGTGCATTTTAGAAATCGTTTACGAGTGTCATGAAAGTGGCCCCTTTACTGTAGAATATCTACAATATTGTAGCCTATTACATTACAATAATTTGATTTGTATTCAATCTCTTTGAATTCTAGTAGTAGTCTTGAGTTAAAAACCAGGAATTACATTGTTTTAATGTGCTAGTTTTGCGTGTCTTCTACTAGACCGTAATGTCAAAGTTCAGTTTAGAAGAGTACTGTGTATGAGTAGAAAGGACCCCTCAGTGGCCCCTTCGGGGCTTCGCCAGTGAGAGCTCTTTAGGGTTTAAAACTGTGTCGCCAAAGAAATGGATTTTCTTGTTATACATAATCTAATAATCTTAAGATGGGAATCTGAAAAATAGGCTCCCACTGGAGCGTGTGTCTACTGCTTGACATTTTTTTGGCTACGGTTTAACTAAAGATCTTATAAACACAAGATGGCATTCTCCGGGATTTTACGCGTAACAAATAGAAGCGTTGATTTGGCACAGAAAAGTAATTAGTTTTGGGAGAGGGCGTCCTAGTCTTTGCCATGGATCTGAGATAGGGTGTTTCACTTTACGCCAAAGTTTGTTACCAAGTATGTTAATTTGTTCCTTATGTTCTAAAGAGAGGACGCATTGTAAATCGGACGTTTCTAATTGTTATGCTGTGGTAAAAGCAGTCAAAGTTCCAAAGTTTTCAGTTTTGCAAGAGGGCGCCGTACACACGGAAATCGCGGAGAACACTATCTTGTGTTCATAAGATCTTTGCCATCCATCATAACCAGTAGGCCCTAGCATAGTCTCTGCGGACGACCTAGCCTATAGCTACACTTGCTAGGCCTGGGGCTTCTACGAGTTGACGAGGTACTGTACAACTGATCAGCAGGCCAATGACGGATAAACCAGCATAGTTTAGGCTAGTTTATACTGAAGTAACACAGAAATTCGACGGAAAATACAGACCCAAAATGAAACGCCAAAACAAATTTTCTTCTACCGTAATAATACTAATAATATTTATTAGTAACACATTAAGATCAGTAGCTTTACCTAGTCCTACAATTGTCAATCAATTCTAGAACTACGAGCGAAAACTGAGTAGTTTTGTTTATTTTTGTAGTGTGGTAGAATTGGCTATCACTCGTAACCTTGTGTATTACTCGTTGGATGAGCTTGCGAAATTAATCCTGAACGTTGATTGGTTGTTGGCTCATGGTCAAAGTTGACGGCTCATGATAAAAGACTTTACGAAAGTTACCATCACTTACATTGGAAAAACATTTTGATGGCATAGTGGCTACTTCACACAAATTCAGTAGCGAGTACGAAAATTTTATAATAATAATTATTGATTCATTTTCATAGTTATGAATAAAATATGCTTAATAAGATAAGATAAGATAACTTTATTGTACAATATATTGTATATATA